GGCTTGTGCTTACTCACTGATCTGCACTGAACACGTTCCCTTGTTACCCTACCGAGAGGGACCAGGTCTTCAGGAGCAAGGTAAGCACGGGTGTAGCACAGAGTCATACATCAGACCATTTCTCCTTCCAAGCAAAGTGAACAACCAGGTGCATTGCTCGACGTTCTGCCCATTGGGAGGGTTTCCCCTCATACTGTCTGTCAGAGAAGTCCCCAGAAGGGGCTACAGTCATGTTGCTGTCTACTTTCAGGTGGTGTGTTTATCATGTAGAACTGTCTGTAAACCAGGCACAAGTTTTCTCTTCCCAGCCAACTGATCATAAGGAGCTCACCATGAGGCCAAAGGTGCAGACTGGGTGAGGAAAGGTAATGTGACAGGAGTGGAGACTGTGGACATTTAGGCCACTTCCTCATTTCACATACTTGTGCCTTCAGGAGCTGCTCAAACCTGATCTCATCTATTACCACTTCCATTTAATGATGGAGTGCTGCTGTGCACATCCAACCTTATGACTCCATGGGTCAAACAACACCTCATTCAAGATGGGCAACTCAGGCTGCATGATGACCTGGTGGCCTATGGTTAATCATTCAGTAACAAGCCAAAAGCTGTTTCTCAAAAGAAGAGCCATTATCTGCAGGAGATGGAAGGGATTTGCTCCAAAATTCTAAGGATCTGCACTGTGGTTCACCAATAGGAACCTGCCAAAGACTCCAGATGGAATCTCTATCTCCCAGTGACACTTCAAGCACCACTGGATCAGCCAGATCATATGGCCCACGTGGCAGAGTGGCTTGCATGGCAGTCTGCACCTGTTGCAGAGCCTTCCCCACTCAAAACTAGCAGCTTTTTGAGTAACTTGATAAATAGGCCAGAGTAGCATGCCCAAATGAAGGATATGTTGCCTCCAAAATCCCAGGCATTGTGTCTCCTTTTTAGTTGTTGGAGGGATCAGATGTAATTACTTACATTCACTTTAGAAGGAATATCTGGACACATCTCACACCACTGGACCACTGGAAATTTCACTGAGGTACCCTCTGGCATGCAAATGTCTTACCAATAAGGCTAGAGTCATTGATGCTTCTTCCTTACTAGGTCCAGTCAGCATAATACCATCAATGTAATGGACCACTGTGATGTCTTGTGGAAGGGAAAGGCAATCAGGATCCCTGTGGACTAAATTATTACGTGAGGTTGAAGAGTTGATATACCCTTCAGGTAGGACAATGAAGGTATATTGCTGGCCTTATCAGCTGGAGGCAAACTGTTCTGGTGAGCCTTTCAGACAGGTATGGAGAAAAAGGCATTAGCCAAATCAGTAGCTGCATACCAGGTAACAGGTTGTTGTTGTTAGGTGCGGTTGAGTCATCTCCTACTCATAGCAACCCTATGCACAGCAGAACAAAACACTGTCCGGTCCTATGCCAACCTCGTAATCCTTGTTATCTTAGCCCATTGTTGCAGCCACTGTGTCAGTCTGTCTTGTTGAAGGCCTTCCCCTTCTACAGCAACAGGACTGTAGCCCGTTTTTGGGGATCTCCCTGAGGGACAGTGGTGAGGGGAAATCCTCCCAATGGGCAGGTAACAGGAGATGTATTAATTTGCCCAAGGAATGAAACCACATCTGGAACAACAGCTGCAGTTGGAGTCACAATAATCCAAGATAAAAATTGGAGTTTATAGTAATCTGCTATCATTCTCCAAGATCCATCTGTTTTTGCACAGGCTGAATATTCAAAGGTATGTATATTTATAAGAGCTCTGGTGGCATAGTGGTTAAAACATTTGGCTGCTCCCAAAAGGTAGGCAGTTCAAACCCACCAGTCATTTCACAGGAGACAGATAAGGCAGTCTTCTTCCATAAAGATTTATGGCCTTGGAAACCCTATGGGGAGTTCTGGTCTGTCCTAAAGCATTCCTATGAGTTGTAATCGACTCTACTGCTATGGTAGTAGCTTTGGTTTTTTGGTTTATGTATGTTTATAAAGTATAGATTTGGGAACTTTTATAAACTTTATTATCAAAGATATTTAGTTCAGTGTCTAATCTGAATCTTTTCCAGTGTATAAAACATTTTTATTTTTTATAGAAATATTCTATAATCCTCATAACAATCCTGCAAAGTAGGTGATATTAGCCTAGCCCCACTACAAGGATAAATTAATTGACTCACATTTACATATTCATCCAACAGATATTTCTGAGTGCCTGCTATGGGCCAGTTATGTATGTTCTGGGTTCTGGGGATATAACAGGAAACATAGCAGAGAGAACTCCCTGTCCTCCAGATACTGCCTCACTTACATGAAATACTTGGACATTAATTTGAATCTTTTAAAACAAATAATACCTTGCTGATCACCTACATTCAAAAATTACCAAGGTTTTGTACCAATTACTTCATATATCCCAGTTTCACTTTTCTTTGCTAAAGTATTTAAAAGGAAATCCCAGATAACATATCATTTTACCCCTATATATCCTTTAGTAAGCATCTCTAGAAAATATGGTCATTTTCTGATATAAATCATAATGCCATTATCACACATGATCCTAATATATGGGCAAAATCAAATTTCCCTGAAGGTACAAAGACCTTTAGGCCACAAAGAAAGTCTTTAAACAGTAAATTTCTTTTAATCAGTGAAGTCCACTCATTACACCTGGGTGTTGTGTCTCTTTAAACTCAATCTATAGCAAGCCTCCTTCCCCATCCCTTTTCCCTCATGTCATTGATTTATTGTGCAAACTGGATCAGTTGTCCTGTAGAATATCCTGCCTTCTATTCTGTAGAATATTTGTCTGTTTGCTCCTTTGTGGTATCATGTGACTTATTTCACTATATACTGAATGGATATAGTGAAATGGATTCCCCTATTTTGAAAGTACATCTGAGAGGATAAACTTGTCAACTGTGTTGACATATAGCCAGTGTGATGGTTGGAGCTGTGTGTCAACTTGGCTGGACCACAATTCTGTGTGGTTTAAGCAGTTCTGATGTGGTTGTTCCCTTGATGGGATGAGATGAATATGTTTTGAGCAGTCAATCCATTGAAAGGGAGTTTCCCTAGGGGTGTGGCCTGCTTCCAGTATTGTTATGAACATCTTGGGAAAAGAGACACTCTTCTGTGGATCAGGATTCTGTTGTGCTGCCTACAACTGTCCGTGAGCAATCAATCTACCATTCAGTCTGGAGATCTTGGATTCGCCCTTCGTTGGAGTCAACAGCTGGTATACTGTCTGCCAACCTTGAGCTCCTCAGCTCCTGCAGCTGCGAGAGTCAGGAAAAGCCTCCAGTTGACGTTTGATCCAAGAATTTTGAACTTTCCATCTTCTATAAGTGTGTGAGCCATTTTCCTAAGGTAAGTATCTCTTTCTCTCTCTATATAAGCTTTACTGGTTTTGTTTCTCTGGAGAACCCAGTCTAACACAGCCAGCATAGAGAAGATAGCATGATTTGGCTGATAATCACAATAATGAAGACCTGAGGGTACAGTTTCTAATTAACATCTACATGTGGGTTTGACATAAGGTCCATATCAAGGGGTGTTGTATTTGCTGGGACTCACAAACTTTACTAGAGAGAATCAAAGATCTCATATCAGAAATCTATGGCAACATTCAACGAGCTCTGGTGGCACAGTGGTTAAAGCTGTTGGTTGCTAACCAAAAGGTTGGCTGTTTGGAACCACTAGCCACTCTGCAGGACAAAGATGAGGCAATCTGCTTCTGTAAAGATTTACAGCCTTTGAAACCCTATGGGACAGTTTCTACTCTGTCCTATAGCGTCTCTATGAGTCAGAATGGAATTGATGGCAGTGGATCAGTGGCTATGGTAATATTCATTGTGGTAAAATGAGATAGACTTTCTTCAGGTAACTGATGTTTCAACTTAAAAGAGACATTGTCAGAGTTGGAAGCTCTTAAAATTCCCTTCTGTTTCAAATCTTTGGGTGATGAGGGTGGTTTCTCTGATGTGGTAAGCTTTGCTTTCCCTCTTTTCTTTCTAAATGATCACTGGAATACAGAGGAGTTAAACACAAACATGACCTATGACCCTCTGCTTGATCTTCTCAGATAACAACCAGGGCCAGCACATGTGACAGTGTCTGTCCTTTTCAAAAATGGAGTTAATGAAAGTTTTGGAAATAATGGTTATTTTTTTGATGATAGGGAGCTCTGGTGGTATAGTGCCTAAGGCATTTGACTGCTAACCAGTAGGCTGGTGATTCAAACCTATGAGCCACTCCTCGGAAGAAAGACTGGACAGTCTACTTCCATAGAGGTACTGTCCTGGAAACCCAAGGAGGGGTCGCTGTGAGTCGGAATTGACTGGACGGCAGTGAGTTTTTTTTTTTGACAATGATAAGTAAAATAATTTGCATAACTAAAAGGGTTCTTTATATTTTGTTATGGACAAAAAGCAGTAGCATGTATGTTGTATTTGGATACAAATCTGACCTCCATCAATGTATCAAACTACTGGACTATTTGGTTAGTGTGTGCATTTTCTGGAGTCCCTGGGTGGTGCAAATGGCTAAAATGCTCAGCTGTTAACTGAAAGTTTAGAGGTTTGAGTCCACCCAGAGGCACCTCAGAGAAAAGGCCTGGAGATCTACTCAGAGAATCAGCCTTTGGAAACTCTGGATACAGGGTAAGGGTTGTTGCAGTGTAGTAAATTACTTAGTGTGGCTTTTCTAGCCATAAGTCTTTGTAAACTCTGTGGTGGAATTTGCTGTGAGAAACTGAGGAGCTCCTGATTG